GCTAGCGCAGATTATGTTAAGGGAAGGCAAAATGAGCAAGTCAAGGGCGTTACGAGTTCTTAATCATGCCGTTTGCGGGAAGGTGGAGCCCCTGTTTGTGAAAGGCTTGTCAATGCTGCTGTGCTAAGCACTATATTTGGGATGTTCATGAAAAAGGTATGCATCCGATTTGTGGAATTTTCCTTTCGAAACTAATAAAGCTAATGCCCATTCAGCAAGATCACAGATCAATAGAGCACCTGTTGGGAATATTTTCTTCGCTTCTACGACTACTTCCTGGGGACTCTTCTAGCCGGATACGGACGCTTGCAAAATTCATGGAGAAAGACTATGAGAAGATCAAGAAGCTGATTAAACTGCGACGGGAATATGCGTCGAAAGTTTCAACAGTTGATCAAATAATTGATCAAGAACGGAAACCTATGAGCTCGGATGAGCAAGAGCTCATGGCGAGTGAATGGCTCTCTCGACGCCTGGATGCTGGGCTCTTCTGCTTGCAGGTACGCAAACGTTACTCTCAAGCCCCTTGCTCAGAGGTTTCGCTAACGCAAAGCAGAACATTGATGTCATCTTAGCATGGCTGGTGGCAGAAGATGACGGAGCGAAGGCAAAGATTAAGTCTCTGCTCTTGGAGCAAGATGAGGATTTAGGCGTTATCAAGGCCACATTGCAGGGTATGTAAAACAAAGCCCCATCCCCCCGAACGGTTACACCAATATCTAACTTCTGATTTTAGAGCAAATAAACGACCTTGACGAAATGTCGGCTGATGAACTGGACACAAGGGAAGTGCTTGGGACATTATTACAATTCCTAAGATAACCTTTTATATATAGTTATCTATGTAGATTATTAATGAATGTAATATTATATGAAATCGTACTGTACTTCTCTCACCTTTGATGATTTGTTTTTTATCAGTAAATTATCACGTGATATTATCGGATAAATTACACTAGTATGTATTTAGTTAGCGTAAACGTGGATCTGATCTCGAAGTTCGCGGTCGGGAGCTGGTGAATTTTATCAACTTCACCGTTCGCAGTCTCTGTTCGTTCTCTCTGCTAAGCTATACTCTAGTGCTCCGCGTCAACCACTATCCTGGAATTGCTACTGCGATATCCAATTTGCGAACAAATGGAATAAAGCTTTTCCCGCCCAGTGAGAGCTTCAAACTACCCACTCCAACTCCTCACGTCCTGCGCTTCTCCGCAAGCAACCACCCTACCGAGATCTCGTCCAGCATGGAGGATTACGAGGAAGAATATGGAGAAGATGCCTACTATGATCAAGATGAAGGGATTACTTCAGAAGACTGCTGGACGGTGATTTCATCCTTCTTCGAGTCGAAAGGTCTGGTGTCGCAGCAGCTTGATTCTTTTGATGAGTTTATCTCGACGACCATGCAGGAGCTAGTGGAGGAGCAAGGACAGGTAACTCTTGACCAAACACTGGCTCCTGCTGAAGATAAGATAGATCCTGTCGTTCTGCGACGCTACGAGTTAAAATTCGGTACTGTCATGCTTGCGCGACCGTCTATGACTGAGGGTGATGGTGCGACCAGCATTATGTTGCCCCAGGAGGCGCGACTTCGAAACCTCACATATGCTAGTCCCCTCTACCTTGGGATTACGAAGAGAGTCACGGAAGGACGAGAGCGTCTCATTGCCGAGCGCGATGATGCTGAGCAAGGCGAAGAGGATAACGATGAGGAGAGACGGAGTAGAGGAACATATTTGCACTGGGAACCGAAGGCTCTGAACGAGGATGAGCCAGAAGAAGAGAACGTTTTCATTGGGAGAATGCCGATCATGTTGAAGTCGAAATACTGCATCCTCAAGGATTTAAATGAACAATCGCTATACAACTGGAACGAGTGTCCTTACGATTCCGGTGGATATTTCATTATAAACGGCAGTGAAAAGGTTCTTATCGCGCAGGAGCGAAGTGCAGGCAATATTGTTCAAGTTTTTAAGAAAGCTCCTCCAAGCCCAACACCGTACGTCGCGGAAATCCGAAGTGCTGTTGAGAAAGGGTCCAGGATATTGTCTCAACTGTCAATAAAGCTTTTCGGTAAGGGTGACACCTCCAAGAGCGGGTTTGGCCCAACGATCCGATCTACTCTCCCTTACATCAAAACCGACATCCCGATCGTTGTTGTGTTCCGAGCGCTTGGTGTGGTGTCCGACGAAGATATCCTCAATCATATTTGCTATGACCGGAATGATACACCAATGCTGGAAATGCTTAAGCCATGTATCGAGGAAGGGTTCGTTATCCAGGATCGCGAAGTAGCTCTTGATTTCATTAGTAAGCGAGGATCTTCGCCTACGAGCATGAACCACGAAAAGCGGGTTAGATACGCGAGGGATATTATCCAGAAGGAATTTCTTCCTCATATCTCACAGAGTGAAGGTAGCGAGACGCGGAAAGCATTTTTCTTGGGATACATGGTTCATAGACTTCTTCAGTGCGCTCTTGGCCGTCGAGATGTCGATGATCGTGATCATTTTGGAAAGAAGAGACTGGACTTGGCCGGTCCACTACTCGCCAACCTTTTCAGAATTCTGTTCATGAGAGTCACGAAGGATCTTTACAAATACGTCCAAAGATGCGTGGAAACTAATCGGCAATTATATCTAAACATTGGTGTGAAGGCTAGTACCCTATCTGGTGGTCTTAAGTATGCTCTTGCTACAGGTAACTGGGGTGAGCAGAAAAAGGCGGCCAGCTCCAAGGCTGGTGTTTCGCAAGTGCTTAATCGTTACACATATGCCTCTACACTTTCACATCTTCGCCGAACCAACACGCCAATTGGTCGTGATGGCAAAATTGCTAAGCCTCGACAACTTCATAACACTCATTGGGGTCTTGTCTGTCCAGCTGAAACGCCGGAAGGCCAAGCTTGTGGCCTTGTTAAGAATTTGGCTCTGATGTGTTGCATCACTGTTGGTACACCGAGCGAGCCGATCATTGATTTCATGATTCAACGCAATATGGAAGTCCTAGAGGAGTTTGAGCCTCAGGTGTCGCCGAATGCTACCAAGGTTTTTGTCAACGGTGTGTGGGTGGGAGTCCATAGAGATCCTTCTCACCTTGTAAGTACAGTCCAATCGTTGAGACGACGGAACATGATTTCGCATGAAGTCAGTTTGGTACGAGACATTCGAGACCGGGAATTCAAGATCTTCACCGATGCTGGACGAGTCTGTCGCCCCCTTTTCGTGGTTGAGAATGACCCGAAGAGTGAAAATTGCGGCTCACTGGTACTATCTAAAGAGCACATCCACAAACTCGAAGCGGACAAAGAGCTTCCACCAGACTTAGATCCTGAGGAGCGCAGAGAGCGGTATTTTGGCTGGGACGGTCTTGTTAAATCCGGTGTCGTTGAATATGTGGATGCAGAGGAGGAAGAAACCATCATGATTGTCATGACACCGGAGGACCTTGAAACGTCGAAACAATTACAAGCAGGCTTTAGTCTTCCTGAAGAAGATAACAACGACCCTAACCGACGTGTCCGATCGACCCTTAGCCAAAAAACACATACTTGGACTCACTGTGAGATTCATCCCAGTATGATTCTAGGCATCTGTGCTAGCATCATTCCGTTCCCCGACCACAACCAATCCCCTCGTAATACATACCAATCTGCTATGGGTAAGCAAGCCATGGGTGTCTTCCTTACAAATTTCGACCAACGGATGGAAACGATGGCAAACATTTTGTACTATCCGCAAAAGCCACTTGCTACGACACGATCTATGGAGTTCCTGAAATTCCGTGAACTTCCTGCTGGACAAAATGCTATCGTGGCAATTGCTTGCTATTCCGGATACAACCAGGAGGACTCTGTTATCATGAACCAGAGCAGTATCGATCGCGGTCTTTTCCGGAGTCTGTTCTACCGAACGTACACCGACTCGGAGAAGATGGTTGGTATGACGGTTGTTGAAAGATTTGAGAAACCCATGAGATCGGATACCCTTCGCATGAAACATGGGACTTATGATAAGGTTGATGACGACGGTATTGTTGCCCCCGGTGTTCGTGTGTCAGGTGAGGATATCATTATCGGGAAAACAGCTCCCTTGGCACCGGAAGCAGAAGAACTAGGTCAGCGGACGAAGCAACATACCAAACTCGATGTCTCTACCCCTCTGCGGAGTACTGAGAGCGGTATCGTCGACCAGGTCTTGGTCTCCACGAGCAACGATGATCTGAAATTCGTCAAGGTTCGGATGAGAACGACGAAGATTCCTCAAATCGGTGACAAATTCGCATCTCGGCACGGCCAAAAAGGAACCATTGGCATTACGTATCGGCAGGAGGATATGCCGTTCACCCGCGAGGGCATTGTTCCGGACCTGATTATCAATCCCCACGCGATTCCTTCTCGAATGACCATTGCTCATTTGATCGAGTGCCAGCTCAGTAAAGTTTCTTCGCTACGTGGGTTTGAAGGTGATGCGACGCCGTTTACAGATGTGACGGTGGATTCCATATCCAGCTTGCTCCGTGAACACGGATATCAGTCCCGCGGCTTCGAGGTGATGTACAATGGCTACACAGGTCGAAAGTTGGTTGCCCAGGTTTTCCTAGGTCCAACTTACTACCAACGTCTACGACACATGGTCGATGATAAGATCCATGCACGCGCACGGGGCCCAACCCAGATTCTCACACGCCAGCCCGTCGAAGGCCGGGCGAGAGATGGTGGTCTTCGATTCGGAGAGATGGAACGCGATTGTATGATTGCTCACGGTGCTAGTGCATTCCTCAAGGAAAGATTATTTGACGTATCTGATCCATTCCGTGTCCACATCTGCGATATCTGTGGGCTGATGACACCCATTGCGTAAGTTTCCATTTAACATTGAAACAAAATTGATATCATATTTTTCCTTTATATCTGCTTCTGCTTCTCCCTCGAATATATAAAAGCTAACCCCGAGCATCAAAATAGGAAACTGAAAAAGGGCGACTTTGAATGTCGGGCTTGCAAAAACAAGAACAAGATCTCGCAGGTCCACATTCCTTACGCCGCCAAGCTTCTTTTCCAGGAGCTGATGTCGATGAATATCGCGGCACGGATGTTTACGAAGAGGTCTGGGGTGTCATTACGGTAGTGCTGGATCCCAAGCGAATGTTTATGCGTTCTATTTTCCGAGGGGGGGTTGGCCATCCAATCTTTGGCCCTGCACTGCACTGCACTGCACCACCACCACCAGCAGCAGCAGCAGCAGCAGCAGTAGTTGCGAACTACCAATGCAATGCACGCTTGAAAGGGACAAGGGTTTCCCCTAAGACAAGGTTGTATTTTTAATTGACAAGTTCTCTCTCACCTTGTTGCCTTTCCCTTTACCTTCTCTCTTCCTGCTTTTCTGCCTCCCCATGGCATTTGGCGAGACTGTGATCCTTCCTTATGCGAAGATGGGATAGGAAAGAAAAAATAAAAAAAGGAAAAAAAGAAAAAGAAAAAAGAAAAAAAAAAAAATCGAAGTAGTTAACTCAACAACACATCCCCATACACATATCTTCCTTTGGCATTGTTCGTGGCGTTATTCTGCACCTGCACCCTTTCTTGGTTTTTTTTTTTTTTTTTTTTTTTTTTTTTTTCTTGTTCAATTGCTGTTTTGAAAAAGCAAAGGCCATGGGAAATTTGGAATGTAAGCAAATGATGGAAGGAAAATACCTAATTAAATACAAACCTAGTAGTTCAAACAGTTTTCCTCATTTTCCTACAAAATCGGGGGGGTTTTGTTTCTCGTGTTTCCTCGTGCAAGCAAAACACATTGGTCCAATTTCTGTCAAACAATGGTTTACAATACATCCAAAATAAAATAAAATAAAATAAAATAAAATAAAATAAAATAAAAAATGGCGAAAATATAAATATGGTCATATTATTTTGTTAAATTCTCCGTTATATTCATGTCGCTTCTGCAACCTCCTTACCTGTCACTAATGCGCATGAACAACAAAGAAACAGCTCCAAATGATCTCCTTCTTACGTAGCGTGAGCGGGGGAAGGGGGAAGCTAGACGAGAACCCAAAGCCCATGCTTCTCACGACGACCCGGGGGTGTGGGGGGGGGGACGACCAAACTCTGCTCTCGTGTCTTTTCTTTTAGCATAGTGGCAGAATTCCAGGACGCAGTAGTAGTAGACGTTTTGTACCTAGTTAACCAACTAGTTAACTGTCAACGCGAACAAGACTGCAAGCCAACGAGCGTTCTCGCCTCGCTAATTTATTCAAGTCAAGACCTAGCGGGAGAAGGGGGGTTTTGGCTGTGCCGTGTCTCGTTGCTCCGTTGTACTCGTGGAAGGATTTAAGTGATTTTACTTTGGAGGGGGCAATCGATCATAGGGCACGGTGATTTGGGGGGACTATGAACTATTTTATTGAATGTTACTACTGTACGGAGTAGGCATCGTATAACTATATACCGCACACAGTGGAGGCATTGGAGATATTGGAGAAGAGTAATCTGTAGAGAGATGAAGAAATACCCTCTTGTGGCAATGAGCAGGGAGTATTCTGAGGGGCTTTCCTTTCATGCACTCACGAGCTTCGAATCGGAGAGGTTATTGAGACGGGGGATGCTGCGTGTGGGTAGCCGCCCGTTGAGGGACAGCGGGGAGGTTGGTGGGGGGATGGATGACGGCAGCAGCGCATTAATGCAGGAATGCAGGAATGCAGGAATGCTCTCCATCCGGACAGCAGCCTCGTTCGCGGGTTGATTGGTTGATTGGTGTGCAGTTGGTGCTGCAGCAACCTTGGTGTGCACTTCCATTCAACCCCGAATCAGGACTAGCGAGCTGTGACTGCAAGTGCGTGCGATGCCTTTTCCTTCGTCCCTCCAGGGTTGACCAACGATTCCAGGCGCTGGCTGGCCCGAGGGTTCTGCCGGGGTCCCATTGGCCCGATGCTGGGGCTGGGTCGAGACCCCGCTCGCCCCATCTGCCGTCACGGGCCAATGGCAGGACCCGACTACCCGCCCGGATGGATTATGTCAGCGCGGTCGGCCCTAACAAGGTTGGGCCCGCCAGCCCGATGCAGCCTAGCGGATGTGATGGCCGTTCTATTTTTGGCCAGCCCCCGCCCGCCTTCATTCACTGCTGATCGCTTGTGGATCCACAAGTGGCCCCACACAGTACGGAGTAATGTAGACTAGACAGTGTGTATATATATCACAGGCACTCGGCTGCTGCTCGTTCTCTCCTCTTCTCCCTTTCTCTCTCTTCCTTCCTCAGCAGGTCTTGTTTGTCTTGTGAAGCGCTATTCCGTTAATTTCGAGGTGCCTTTGTTTCCCGTTAAACGTTTTGTTCTGTTTCTAGTACTACTTCCAGTCTTGAGAAAGAAGCTGTGCTTCTTCGTTCCTCGCGCTTACGGTACCTCCTAATTAATTCAACCCCTTCCCGACTCAATCGCACTGTTCGTCGCCGGTTCGACGTCCTTGTTTGTTAATAGCTCTTCACTTCAACGCTCCTACTTGCAAGACCCGTCCGCTCTGTTTTATCGATCCAAAGATTTTCCGAAAAAGCGACTCTGGTAGTCCTTTGCCTGGCTTTCGATAGAACATATATATATATATATACATATATATTCGATTCTTTTAACTATAATTTCCACCATTATTATTCTTGTCGTTTTTTAACCGCAACCCCCAGTCATTAATATATTTTTGCAGTCCTCGTACCTTCATTATTTAACCCCCTTTTAATATACTTAATATATTCGGAATTTATCAAAAGAAAAAATGGCCGCCGTTCAACTTAGCTTCTCCATCCGCACCTCTCCCAATGTCAAGACCATCCATCTCCTCGGCTCGTGGGATAACTACACCGGGCAACTCCCGCTCTCCCAGGATGCTTCCGCCAAACCGGGCTCGTGGAAGGGAACGTTCCGTTTCCAGGGGAATTCTCTCCAGCTGGGACAGCGATACTGGTACTACGTAAGTATAAAAACAAAATGCAGAAACATCGTCCCCCTGTTGGCGGTAGTAGGCGTGGATTCCATACTTAACTTTTCCTCACTAGTACATCATGGACGGCTACCATGTCTCCCATGACCCAACTGCGGAATACACTGTCGAGCCCACCACTGGCCGCAAGCTCAACATCCTGGATGTTCCCAGCGGAGCCCGCAGCAGCACGAACTCTTCTCACAAACAGTCACATAGTGGGCCAATCAAGGGCCGCGCTCTCTCGCCCTCCAAGATCCTCTCCCCGAAGCCCTCCAAGCCTTACGCTTCCCGCCAAATTCGGGATCCCCACTACTCTCCTCCCGCTTCCGTCAGCGAACTTGCCAGACGCTTTGCCAGTGTCGATATGTCCGATTCCGAGTCGGATCTCTCCTCCAGCCCGCCGTCCTCAACTGGCTCTTCGATCTCTTCTCGCTCAGACAGCTCGTCGCCATCTTCTCTCTCCTCCTTGAGTGACAACAGCTCCGTCTGCAGCTGTGAACGATACGGAATCACCCGCAAGGGAGATCGCGTCAAGATCGATTGTGGAGGCAGCCGCTGCGGAAGCAAATCCCCGGCCTCCGACTCCGATATCTGCTCCAGCGACTCGGAGGAAGAATATCGCGAAGCCCGCCCCATGGCCCGCCGCCCCCACTACGTCTCCCATAGATGATCGCCTTGCGTTTCAAGTGTATAAATCCCTTGTCAATTTCGTTCTGTGCATCCCCAGCACGCCCTGTTCTCGACCTGACGGATTCCGGAAAACCTTTGACCCGTCTGTCCGCATGCAACCTCCGTCCTCGCTCCCTTTGCCATTTTTACCCATGACCACCCAGCGAAAGTATCGTCTGCCAGGAGTTGATTTTTGTCTTAAATGTCTACAAGTTCAAAATTGGATAACAAGATTGAAAAAATTCTGTGCATCAGAGCTGAATATCAAAATTGTCATTCCCACCTTGTCCCTGTCCCTTTCTTTCGACTGGGAACAACCATCTTTCATGGTGAACTTTTACCACTCATTTCGCCACTCACCACGTTATTTGATATTTTTTCCCCCTCTGCCTTGTCCATTCTTTTGACTAGTTTTCTCCTCCAACTCTTGCATCGAATAATAACGATGTTACTTTCCATCGATGCATCCTTGCATTCAAACCAACAGACACGCTGCCACAACAAAACAGCTCAGCGTCAATGTACTACTGTCTTTCCACTCTCGCACTTCCACGAAGCCTACTACCACGCGAGAAAAAGAATGCCACTCTAATGCGAATCGCCCAATTCTTCTTGTCGCCAAAAACCGGATACTTAAGTATCGTTCGATTCTTGTTTGCCCCGCAATATATCAATGTTTCAAATCGCCATCGCCAATTACAACAAACTCGATGATTCATTATTATTGTTATTTTTTTTCTCCCAAACCACCCTTTCCAAACAAACCCACCATTTGGGGGGGGGGAAAAAAAAATCACAAAAAGAAAAAAGAAACAAGTGTTTTTTGTTTCATTGCATACACACACACACACACACACAAACCATTTGCATCGCTCACGAAAGCAAACCCCCCCACCCCACCAACATGCCAATCCTTCGGGGGGAACCCCTAATTTCTTGTTTTCTGCTTTTTTGCCCTTCTGCCTCATTAACGAAATTGCAAATGCTACCGTTTTATGCCTGTCCCAGTTTTTTTTTTTTTTTTTTTTTTTTTTTTTTCGGGGACCTATCTTTTCTTTTTAATTTCGGGGGGGAAGTCGCTCCCAGGCTTGGGGCAACTCTTTTCATCCCCTTGGCACATCCATATATATATATATATATATATATATATATATATGTATGTATGTATGGATGTATTTACAGAGGTTTTTTCCTCCAAGATTCAACCCTCTGTGCTCTGCACGTCGGGATGGGGTGACTGGGGAGCTTTGACATATTTTGAGGAGAACGCAGGAGGTGGGGTGGGGGCGGGGGTGGTTGGGGATGACGGTGAGAAAGAAATCGGCTCGTTTTCATGAAAGTTATTTTTTAGTATATTTAGTGTTTTTTTTTTTTTTTTTTTTTTTTTTTTTACCCTATCCTTTTTGTCCCCTTTCCTTGTGATGAGAATCAAGGAAGGGAAAGGAAGGAAGGGGAGGGGGAAGGCGGAGGAGGAAATAAACAATAAATGACATTACTCAGTACTAGCATGTATGTATCTATGTAGTTAGTTATGTATGTAGCTGACGTCAAAACGCGATGCGATTCATCGGTGTATGTATGTGTACATACGTAGCTAGTTAGGATAGTAATTTCCAACGGGGTTACGCTCGACAAAAGATAACCAACAGCAACATATTGTATGTCCTGTGCTGTGCTGTGCATATATATATACTTTCCTTTCCTCATTCCCTTCTCCCTCTCCGTTCTGGCTCCGCCCGTTTTGGGATCTTGGGTATCTATCTATCTATCTATCTATGTGGGATATCTTGTCGGTGGGAGATGTAAGACATGCATGCACCGCACTTCACGGATCGCTGTAT